GTACTACATATTTAGATTTTCAATGTTTTATATATTATTCAAGTTTTTCCTTATTCGGAAAGAATAATAGGAAAATGTTTACCTTTTGCACGAAAAAGTTTTCAAAATCTTTGATGTTGAAGTTTACCGAGGAGAATATTAGCAAAATAATTTCACAATGGACCCACATCAAATTTTTCTGTCCAAAACTATTTCAACGTCTCCATATGTAAACCTTAGAAATCAACAGTGACCTCAATATCAAGTTTCAGAATTTCCGCTATATTCCTTCAACCAACATCAAAATCTAGTAACATGTATTACGCATATCCAAAAGAATCTTCATCCCTCCAGGGATGAATGTTTGCTGGGATTAATGTATCTTACATTTCTTGCTCTAATCTCTCTCGTCTTAATGAAAACGTTAGTTTCGTAAATTTATCTTTTCGCATTATTAAATTGTTTAATCAGTCAAAAATGAATGTGCGTGTCAAACTAAATAATAAACAATTAAACCAATTGTTAACTTTATTTGCAAAATTGAATTCAATTCGGAAGCGTAAAAAAAGATAGAAATGAAACTTAGATTGGCTGGCTGCCGTTCTCTATGTCTCTCCGATTGTTAGTATTGTGGCATTGCCAGTTGTCATCACATGTTGTGTGACAAGCTTTAATTTAAATGGATTAGATAAATGTTTAGTGTCAATTTTCATTCATATTTCATTACGAATATGTCGTACAATGACTGTTTGCTAAGTTATTTGAAATTCTTTTGAGATATAGAAACTTAATTTTCAAAGAAAAGGTTTCATTCCAATTCGTTACAAATGTAATTAAACCAGTAAGGAAAGGTCAAAAGTCGGCGAGCCGACTATATGACACCCTACACCACTATGCGCATTTTGTATTCGGTTGAATATGAAAAAATCTATTTAATTTGGGCTGATATTACATATATGGTGGACAATAGCCGTAAAGTCGGATAAAGATATATATCAAAGCTACATAAAAATCTTAACCGATCTCGATAAAATATAGCAGAGGAATTTTTGAGCAGTATCTGATGCCCGAAATCTAATATCATTGCATTTTGCATATTACGCATGTGAGAAACTTTAACACCAAATCGGATAAAACATATATATGGGAGCTATAGCTATATAAACTGGTTTTCTCCAAATTTGAAGTACTTGTTTCTAGGATGAATTCATTCGGAATTGCCAACAAACAACAAACCTGATATCGAATGAAGGTATATATATGGGAGCTATACTATATTTCAAAGACGTTATATAGTTAGCCAGTTAAGCTTGAAAAAATATATATTTTTAACTCGAATTGTTTGAATTTTTGGAATTGAATTGTTTGAAATGCCTTGGTTGGAATGTATTGTATGAATTGAATTGAATCCTTTGGCTTGAATTGAATTGTTTGAATTGAGTTGTCCTTTTTATACCCTCCACTCCGCAATAAATTTTTAATCGAGGTCGGCAGTTTAAAAATGGCTTTAAATGGTACCCTCTGGTGCTATAGATTTTGAAACTTTTAACTTTTAGTTTAAACCGAATTGGCAACACTTTGGTATTGGCACCAAATTTTAAATTTCGTGATAATTCGCAATTGACATAATGGTGTCTTCTTTTTTAGGAGCATCTGAAATGTTCACAAGTTACAGCAGGAAGGCCTTATATTCAGGTGGTTCCAAAAAATATTCGTTAAAGCTCTTGAAAAGTCATTTCATATTTTAATAATCTTTCGAAAATCATAGTCCAAAAAAATGGTATAAAAATCCGCAACCATAACTATGAGGGTCTTATAAGATATATATATATATATTTTTTTTTAATAAATATAGATGTTTGTCTTCTTTTGTATATATGTTATAAAAACACAAAAACTGATGATTTATATAATTCTGTGTCTTTCTCTTTCGTTGGCGATCATAAAAGTGTATCCCATTAAGAAAAACTCTCAAAATACGACTTGAATATTAATTTGGTCGGCTTTCATGTTCAAAACACCCCACCATGTATGTATAATTTCATTTTTTGCCAATCTCTTTCTTTGCATGCAAATCCAGTGAAATCCACCAGAGTTACGACGCTGCTCTAAACTCTCAAAGCACGAAAATTCAATTTAAAATCACTCACCACCACTCATCGTTGTCATTAATTGACAAATTGATGATTCTTTGGTTGGCTGGCATTAAATGCCTACCTATCTTTCATTAAAACCATCATCTCGATTATGAACTTCCTCTCTCTCTATCTCTTCCTCTCCTCTTTTTGGCCAGGTTTAACCACAAAAAACGCAAATATTTAAATTAAATCATAAAAAACGTAAGAAAGCCAAGCTTTGCCGTCGTGAGTGGGTTGATTGGTATGTAAATATTCGTCACATTGTGACTTTACAACAATAGTCTTGGTTTTATTGTTGTTGTAAATTGAAAATTAAAAAAATGTGCGAATGAATCACAAATTGACATGTTGACGTAGTCAAAAGCCTTTTATTGTCTTGAAGCCAAATAGGGTATAGGACCGACAAATATGTTATTTCCCGGAATCAAAGGTGTTAAATAGTAAAGTAGCACTGCTAATCGATAGTTATTGAAATTGGTTGAGATGAATTTCACACACATACATACAAATAAATACATGTGTATTTAAAAAGGATTTTCCCCAACAAACATCCATCCATGCTTAAACACTAAAAAAGATCAGCAAAATTCAACTTCTCCTTTTAAAATATACAAAAAACGCCAGAAGAGTAGCCATTTAGGCGTGGGAGGTGATTTTTTCAAATTTTAAAGACCAATAGCCGTGGATTTTTTAAGAGTAATTTTTCAAGGTCCGACTGAGTGGCAATCTGTGATTTTTAAAGAGATTTCTTGAAGAACCAACTGTAGACATAATCGTGATTTTCAGATGGAAGTTTTAGAGGGTCCAGTAGAAAAAACTTTAAAATGTTTAAAAAATTGTGAATTTTTATACGATCATCCACATGGCTGTAGAGGGTATACATCATTTGATACGACCAAAACGCATCTCATCGAAATAACAGCTTTATACCCTAGGCCCCTTTGGATGAAATCTATTTCAGGACATTTGAAGTTAATCTGCCTGTTTGTCTGTTTTGTGCTCACAATAATTCTCGAGCGTAATTTCCGGTTTCGTCCAAATTTGACAAATCGTAATATTATCGTCGAATACTACATTATTCTCGAGTTCGAGGATGGGCAATATCGGTCTACTACTTCCGGTATCTTTAACACAAAAATTTTAAATTTTCGCAGAAAATAATTTATTTCATAAAACAAGAATAGATTATCCGATTTTGTTCAAATTTTGCAAAATCTAACAATTGCATCAGATGGTACGACCATATTTTGAATAATGATAAATTTTTAAAAATTTAAAATAAGAGTCCCATTTTCTTCAAATTTCGCACATCCCAGTATCAACACAGAATCTAGTGTGAATATGGGATATTGCGGACCACTTCCCTGGCACCTCCCCTACAGGGAGTCAAAACTTCAAATAGTTGCAAGTCTCGAAATACTTTCATCTACAATCACCCAATACCAAATTTAGTAGAATTTGGTAGTTTTCGAACAATTATAATACGGCATTTTACTCTTACCCATATACAGGTTGAGATGAAAAAACTGCAACCAACTTCAGACTGCTGCCATTTCTAAGCCACTCGTTCCACAGCTGCTAAAATTATACCAGTGATAGTGTGATTTCTTTATATTTGGCTGGAAAACCACGAGTGGCTATCGTTAGAGCACTCCCGCATTTAAATGTGAATAAATCTTTTGTGTCTCGTACCATCGCTCGTTACCGTGATACTGGCAGCTTAGCCCGACGTCAAGGAAGTGGACGGAAGAAAACAGCAACATCAGCAGAAATGGCTCGAAAAATAAAGAAGCGACTTGATCGAAATCCGCGTCGCAGTGGCCAAAAAATGGCTCGTGAGCTGAACATATCGCAATATTCCATTGGGCAAATATTGAAAAATGAGCTCGGGGTAAAGCCATTAAAATTCCAAAAAGTGCAAGAACTTACACCGCAACAGAAAGAAAATAGACTCAAAAGAGCTAAAGAGTTGCTTCGCTTGGCGGAAGTGGTGAACTGCCGAATTTGGTTTTCTCCGATGAGAAAACATTCGTTGTCCAGCAGTTTGTAAACAAACAAAATTATCGTGTTTACTTGCCAAAGAGGTCAGCTGAAAATGTGCACCTTCGATTGTCCACCAGAACTCAAGAATGGTTAGAAAATTATGTTCCTCGCTTCATTTCCAGCGCACAATGGCCACCAAAATATCCAATCCGTTGGACAATTGTGTCTGGAGCATTTTGAAAAGCAAGGTTGGCATTAAAAAATAGCAACGTTTCGATCACCTCAAGCAAGCACTTCGCCGGGAATGGGCCAAAATACCGCAGAGCAATATTCGGACAGCGTGTGACGGTTTCATTGGCCGTTTGGAGGCCATAATTCGTGCCAAAGGTGACCAATTCGAAAAAATCTAAACTTATTCTAAAATTTGATACTATTTCCGACATTTTGAGCTTTCATTCAATAAAATTGAAAAAAATGTAAAAATTATGGCTTTCGACATTGTTGCATTTTTTTATCTCACCCTGTATAGATATAGCTAAATGGACATTTTTAACTATCTTCTTAGAAAGGAGACATTATGAAGTTATTTTCAAAGAAATCCTTTGGAAAATTTTCTTTACAGTTAAAACATTTTGCATATCTTCTCTATGTAGATTGGGTTGGGTTTTTTTGCATTCCCGCTACGTTTTTTGACACTATACAAAGATAGCATATTTCCGAATAAAGGATTTTCTGATAAGAAAAATAAATGCCAAATAGTATTTGTTATATGGTAGCTTTACTTGGAATGAAAATGTAAATACCATTTACTTAGCAAATATAGTGAAAAAATCATGTTTTTTTTTTTAATTTTCTTTTTTTTCAAAAAGATTTTTTTTGACAAATTCTTTGCCAACTTACCTTGCAACATCGATCTGTAGGCGGTATCTGTTATGGCAAAGACATGTGGTGGCACTTCATGTCTTTTGATGCCCTTATACCGTTCCATAATTTTTTCCGTGTAAATTGGTAATTTCTTATAGGGATTAACAACGACGCAGAAAAGACCGGAATATGTCTGAAAAAATACAACAACAAAAATGAGCATGATTAATATATTATTACAAGAGAAAAATGTAAGAAAAAAAAGAGGAAGCAGAAGAAAACATTAAAAAATTTATAAATAAAAAAACAGTAACAAGAAAATAATGATAACAAAAGCGAAGCGACGTTGTTGGTGGATGTATTAAATATTTATGCATCAATGCTTTTGCAAATGTTCATTTCTATATATTCGTACATATGTATGTGTGTATATATGTGTCTGTCTGTTATGTGTAGAGAAATAATAAAGTTTAATAACCCTAAAATTATGAATATGTAATGACTATTTAAGCAAATTGGAAATTATAAATTTTAAGATAAATGTTTATTTGGATTTCTTGGCATGCTCCAAATATTTTGTAAGCAGAAACTTTAACCTTCTTTTCAACAGAATTGTAATAATCTTTCACTTTTCATAAAAACAATTTATAAAGTATCAGTCGGTTTAGCCGACAGATGTATACCCTCAGCCAATGTTCGATTATTTAAATATAGTTGAACTTGTGTTATGATTATTCAAATTGTTGACCATCTATGGAGTAGGCTTCGAAGGAATGAGCCAATATTGTCCATTTCGTATCAGTCCTAAATAAATATGATATAAATATTGCGACGCGACAGGTTTGGACTATACAGGGTGAGATAAAAAAACTGCAAAAAAGTCAAACACCATAACTTTTATTTATTTTTTTTTCGCTGCCCGAATGTTGTTCTGCGATACTTTGACCCATTCCCGGCGAAGCGCTTGTTTAAGGTGATCGACACTTTGATATTTCTTAGTGCCAAAATTGCTTTCCAAAATATTTCAGACACAATAGTCCAACGGATTGGTATCCGGAGATTTTAGTGGCCATTGTGCGCTGGAAATGAAGCGAGGAACCTCATTTTGTAACCATTCTTGGGTTACAATCCTGTTGGAACGTCCAAGGTCTGCGACCAAAATGTTTGCGTTCCCAAGGCTTTAATACACCCTGCAGAATATTTTCGCAATAATATTCGGCATTTATTCTGATGCCACGGCCGATTAGTACGAGCAGAGAGCGACCATCGGCTGTTATGGCATCCCACACCATCACCACGGCCGGCGCTTGAGTTCTTGTGGCCAACCGAAAGAGCACATTTTCAGGTAACCTCTTCGGCAAGTAAACATGATCATTTTGTTTGTTTACAAACTGCTGGAATACGAATGTTTCGCCAGTTCACCACCTCGGCCAAGCGAAGCAACTCTTTAGCTCTTTTGAGTCAATTTTCTTTCTGTTGCGGTGTAAATTCTTACACTTTTTGGAATTTCAATGGCTTCAACCCGAGCTCATTTTTCAATATTCGCCGAATGGCCATTTTTAAAAGAAAAAAATCAAAACTAAAAAATCTATAATTACAATATCAAAAATCTTCCTCTGGCAATTTTTTATTTTAGACTTCGTTTCATTGGCTGCCCAACAATAATTGGAAAGCTATAGGAGATAAATAACCCATGAATAGGTAATGCAGACTACCATTTACATTAACAGTAGTTTGAAAATAATGGACTATTCCTAAAATATACAGGGCAAAAGAACTTACATTTCTCATTTCCAAGTAATGAGTAACGCCTGCATGGAGTGTGGACATCCAACTACAAAGCAAAAGTTATGAATTCCAGGCTTGGAAAAACAATGAATAATATCTTATATCGTGCGACAATAGGATGGGAATTTTTTATGAGTAACAATCAGAAGATATTGAATTTCAAAGAAAAAAAAATTAACTGTCATGTTCTAAAAATTTGTATTTGTAAATTTGTATTGTACTTTATTCCCAAGACATGTCCATATTAAAAAAAGGTATCAGGACTCTAAAACTTGTTTCCATTCCATTCATTCTGCCCACAAAAAGTTTAATATCTTAAAAAAAAAGTATTCGTAAAATGTGTTTAATCTATTCGCAGGGGAATTAGAGCATGTCATTCATTCAACACAATTTCATGGTTATTCAATTTGTGGCAATTCTTAAAACATGTAGACTATATCAGGGCTTATAAAAAGTTTTTAAAACAAAACGACGACTGGTGAAACGATAAGAAGTTTATCTTGCCATTTCAAATTTGCTTAGGATTTCTTTCTGAAATTTAAGCAAACTTGTCTGGAGAGAAAACTAAAATGGATTCCCAAAGGAAAATTAAAACAAATTCTAAAAACTTTTTCCAAAAAATAAATCACCTCCCCGTTAATATCTCCTAAAAAATTAAAAATAAAATACTTTAAACTACAAATACTAGTATGAACTTTTAGATAATGCAGCCAAACTTTTCAAAAAAACATAAAGTGGGTGAGACCGTTATATGGGGGCTATGCAAAAACGGTAACCTCTATAGACAATTTAATACTTCTAGCATGGTCATCTACCAAATCTTCTTATATATCAAATTTTAAACAATTTCGTGGGTATATGTGACTAGGATTATCAAAATACCGATCGGGTATATGTGCGCTATAGGAAAACGTGGACGTAAAAATATTCAATGTTCTACCACCGGAGCTAGAACCCATTATTAACTACAAATACCAATTTTATGACAAATCCGGGGGAAAATGTGGAAGAATCATCAAAATACTGAATATCCAGAGGTACCTTTATGTAAAGGCTATACGAAAAGGTGTACCTATACATACTGTGTTCCGCCACAAGAGCTAGAACCCATTACAAACTACAAATATTAATTTTTGGACAAATCAGTCCAGGCAAAAATTATCAAAACACCGAAAGTCCGAATGCTATACAAAAACGTGGACCTATACAGACAATATTTCGCCAAGGAAGCTAGAACCTATTATGACCTACAAATACCAATGCTTAGAAAAATAGACGGACATGGTTAAATCGACTTAGAATTTAATGCTTATTATGTTTATGGGGTCTACGACGAATATTTAGCGATGTTACAAACAAAATGACAAAGTTAATACAAAGAGGGTATATTCAAGGTGGAGAGTATACAAAATATAATGCCTCAGTAACTCGATCGACCTTGTGAACTGTTATGATTCTTCAAACCCTCCCATTCAAACTCTAACTGATCGTTGTCAATATATCAAAGTTTCGTTGTTGAAAACCCAATAACTTCAAATTGAATGATATCATTCGAGTCGGTATATCTGTACACAAAGTATATTTACCATATATACATATATGCATACATACATACATCCATGGTATATATGTATTGGGGCTACCCTTCTTTGAGAATGCGATAACAACGAAATATTTTCACAGTTAAACTACAGAAGTTTGAAGAAATGGGTCTGATATCACGTAAAATGAGTTTTGCTGTTTTGTTTTTTTTTTTTTTCGTGGAATGATGACTTCATTTCGTTTTTTGTGATTGAAATGAATAATGACAGTTTATGATGGGACGCCTAAAGAAATAAAAAAGCAAGCAAATATTTAAAAATTCACAGGCAAGGATTCGTTTTTTGTAGAAATCAAATTGATTTTTTAAATTTATTTGTTTTTTTATTTTTGTATGGAGGTAAGTGAACAAACCTAAAATTTATGACACATTTAAATATATTTCGACTTCTGTTGTGTTTATTCAAATTTTTAACCCTCTATGGAGTAGGTTCCCAAGGAATGGGTGTGATATAAATATTGCGACGAGACAGGTTTGGACTATATTGGTTACTTCCTTCACTTTATATGAAATATGTGATAATTTTTGGAAAATGTTAAAATGTGCGTGAGGTACCAGATATAGTCGACTGAAGTATTCCGTTTTCATACATCATCTAATACAGATAAAAATATTGGTATGAGCAAAATTACAAGAAAATCGAACATTTATATCCAATTTAATGCGAAATCGAAAATTTCGATAAATCCCAAATTCATCTCAGGTTTCTGATTGAGTGAAATTTTTAGATATAACAAGTTGTAAAGAATCGCTGATTTGTTTCGCAAATATAAGTATTCAAAATTGTGACCCCTTGTGAGATACCAGAAGGAGTTGACAACAACAACAGATCTTGCGTTAGCAAATATGTTTGGATGCGAGAAATTTGAAGAGAGTTTATTTCTCTCTCTCTCTCTCTTTCTGAGCGTTTTGTTTTTCAAAATCTTAAACGCTATGTAGGGGAGAAAAAATGGTCTTATCTCTACCATCTTTATAACAGATCTTGTGTTGATGGAAATATTGAGATGTGCCAAGTCTGAATGGAATCGGATGTTTCATTGATTTTCAAAATGTTTACCCTTTGTGGGAGAGGTACCAGAAGAAGTGAACGGATACATCCCATCTTAATAGCAGACCTGGTGTTAGTAGAAACAATGAGATGTGTGAAATATGAAACGAATCGGATCCTTATTTCGGATTTTATATCGTTTTGGTTATTCAAAACTTTGACCCTTTGTGGGGGAGGTTCCAGAAGAAATGGTCTAATTTCTACCATGTTTATAGCAGATCTTGTGTTGATGGAAATATTGATATGTGCCAAGTGTGAATGGAATCTGATACCAATTTCGCGTTTTACGAGTTTCATGGGTATTCAAAATTTTGACCCTTTATGGAACAGGTACCAGAAGGAGTGGACCGATACATCCCATATTCACACCAGACCTTGAGTTAAAAAAAAAATATTGTGATGTGTGTAATTTGAAGACAGTCGGACTCTTACATCACATTTTATAAGCGTTATAATTATTAGAAATGTTGACCCTTTGTGGAGGAGTGGACTGATATTGTCCATTTTCACACCTGACCTAGAACTGACGCGAATATAAGGTTTTACAAAGTTGGAGCAAAATCGAATTATCCTTTCTCTTTTTGTGCAGTAAAATATTTTTTTTTTTTTTGGAAAATTTCTACCTTTTGTGGGAGTTGGAGTGGACCGATATTGTCCATCTCTCAACTTGGTCTAAGTTTAATAATAATAGTACGAAGCACCAAGTTTGAGATAAATCGGATACTCCGTTCGAGAGTTATCGTGTGCATCAGCCAGA